CCTGCTCTATGCTATGCTATGCTATGCTGTGCTGGGCTATGCTATGCTATGCTAGGCTATGATATGACATTGTATGCTGCGCTATGATATGCTATGCTCTGATATGCTATGTTGCGCTGTGATATGCTATGCTATGATATGTTATGGTATGCTGTGATGTGCTGTGCTATGCAATGCTATGCTGCGCTGTGCTATGCTAAGCAATGCTATGTTAGGTTATGCGATGCAATGCTATGATATGCTATGCGATGCTATGCAGAGCTATGCTATGCTGTGCTATGCTATGCTATGCTGTGTTTGGCGATGTTATGCTATGCTATGCTGTGCTCATGCTGCGCTGCGCTATGCTGCGCTAAGCTAAGCTAAGCTAAGCTAAAATAAGCTAAGGTATGTTAAGCTAAGCTAAGCTAAGCTAAGCTAAGCTAGGCTAGGCTAGGCGAAGCTGTGCTAAGCTAAGCTAAACTAAGCTAGGCTAAGCTAAGCCATGCTAAACTAAGCTAAGCCAAGCTAAGCTCAGCTAAGCTAAGCTAAGATGAGCTAGGCTACGCTTAGCTAAGCTAGGCTAGGCAAAGCTAAGCTAAGCTAAGATGAGATAAGCTAAGCTAAGCTAAGCCAAGCTAAGCTTAGCTAAGCTAAGCTAAGCTAAGCTGGATGAACCCAGGGGGCGGGGACTGGGGGAACCGCGGGGCGGGGACTGGGGGAACCGCCCGGGGCGCTTTCCACTGCCCGGTCCCTTTAAGCTAAGAGAGTAAGAACCCTCTAGGCAGAGCCTAGGTAGGGAACATATGGCTCCAAATCGGGGCCACCATGTTAGATACCCCCCTGGGAGGCCTGCACACGTAAAAAAACACGTGGTCCAGCCCACCGAGGGGGGATATCTAACATGCGGTCGTCTGGAGCGCAGGAGGGCCCAGGAACACCCAAAGGCGCCTGGAAGCCAAAAAAATCAACGAATCGATACCAAATACAAATTATCCCAGTGCGACCCTACCTAGGAGTTGGAACCCCTAGGAAAGCAGCATTAGTAGTAACAGTAACGCTAAGCTAAAGCTAAGCTAAAGCTAAGCTAAACGCTAAGCGAAAAGCTAAGCGAAAAGCTAAGCGAAACGCTAAGCTAAAGCTAAGCTACAGCTAAGCTAAAGCTAAGCTAAAGCTAAGCTAAAGCTAAAGCTAAAGCTCCCAGGGGACTGGGGGGAACCGCGGGGCGGGGACTGGGGGAACCGCCCGGGGCGCTTTCCACTGCCCGGCCCCTTTAAGCTAGAGAGTAAGAACCCTTCTAGGCAGAGCCTAGGTAGGGAATAAACTCTCGACGTTCCGTTCCGAGTCCCAGGAAGGATCCAGGAGTCTCATGTTAGATACCCCCTGAGTGGCCTGGACACGTGAAAACAAGTGGTTCCAGCTCGGTACCACCATGTTGGATACACCCCAGGTGGTCTGGACACGAAAATCACACGGTTCCAGCGCGGGACAATCACGTTAGATACCCCCCTGGGCGGCCTGGCCATATAAAAACACGTGGCTCCAGCTCGGGACCACCATGTTAGATACCCACCTGGGTGGCCTTCACACGTGAAAACACGTGGTTCCAGCGCGGGACCACCATCTTAGACACCCCCTGGGTGGCCTCGACAGGTGAAACCACGTGGTTCCAGCTCGGGACCACCATGTTAGATACCTCATGGGTGGCTTGGACACGTAAAAGCACACGGTTCCAGCTCATGACCACCATGTTAGATACCCCCCTGGGTGGCGTGGACACGTGGAAACACGCGGTTCCAGCTCAGGACCACTATGTTAGATACACCCTCTGGGCGACCTGGGCACGTGAAAACACATGGTTCCAGCGCGGGACCACCATCTTAGACACCCCCTGGGTGGCCTCGACAGGTGAAACACGTGGTTCCAGCTCGGAACCAACATGTTGGATACCCACCTGGGTGGCCTGTACACGTGAAAACACGTGGCTCCAGCGCGGGACCACCGTGTTAGATACCCACCGTGTGGCCTGGACACGGGAAAACGTGGTACCAGCTCGGGACCACCATGTTAGATACCCACCTTGGTGCCCTGGACACGTGAAGCGACGTGGTTCCAGCTCGGGCAGAACATGTTAAATACCCCCCTGTGCGGCCAAGGAAATCTTAGAAAAACAAACTAAATAGTCGAGACGTCCTCGAAATTCCTGCGCGCGCGACGCGGCACGCGCGAGACATCCTCGGAATTTGGATACCCCCCTGGCCGACCTGGGCACGTGAAAACAAGCACTTCGCCTGAGAAATCCTCTGAATTCTGGCCCCCCACGAGGCCCCCGCTCGAGACATCCCCCAACTCTGCAAAACCAGCGTTTCGCTCGAGACATCCTCAACACATTCTGAAAGAACAAGCGTTTCGCTGGAGACATCCTCAAATTTTAATCCGCCAGCCCACCTCGACCTCGATAATTATCAGGAAAAGAATCCGCCAGCCCAACTCAGTCATGGCACGGGGGAAAGTTTACAAACTAAAAGAAAACCCTGGGCCCGCGACCTTTCTGGGAAAAAAAAACATCAGCCGCAGCAGCAGCAGCAGCAGCAGCATCCATCGTCATCATCATCATCAGCATCATCATCATCATCATCATCATCATCATCATCATCATCATCATCATCATCGTCGTCATCATCATCATCATCATCATCATCATCAGCATCATCATCATCATCATCATCATCATCATCATCATCATCCTCATCATCAGCATCATCATCAGCATCATCATCATCATCATCGTCGTCATCATCATCATCATCAGCATCAGCATCAGCATCAGCATCATCATCATCATCATCATCATCAGCATCATCATCTAATCATCTTCATCATCATCATCATCATCAGCAGCAGCATCACCATCATCATCATCAGAATCATCATCATCAGAATCAGCATCATCATCAGCAGAATCACCATTATCATCATCATCACCATCATCATCATCAGCAGCATCAGCATCAAAATCAGAATCATAATCATCATCATCATCATCATCATCGTCATCACCTGCAGCATCATCACCATCACCATCTTCCTCATCATCATCATCAGCAGCAGCATCATGAACATCATCCCCACTGTCGTCATCATCATCATCAGCAGCAGCAGCATCACCATCACCATCATCACCAGCATCATCACCATCACCAGTAGCATCACCATCACCATCGGCATGATCATAATTCTCATCAGCATCATCCTCTTCATCCTCGTCCTCTTTATCATCCTATAATCATCCTCGTCATCATCCTTTCCTATCATCATCCCCATTACCATCCTCATACTCATCATCATCCTCATCATCATCCTCATCCTCGTCCTCCTCATCATCATCATCCGCAGCATCATCATCAGCAGCAGCATCATCACCATCCGCATTCCCATCACCATCATCATCATCATCAGCATCATCATCAGCATCATCATCATCAGCATCACCGACATCAGTATCGTCATCATCCTCATGAGCATCCTCATGATCGTCCTCATCCTCATCATCATCATCCTCATTAGCATCAGCAGCAGCAGCAGCAGCATTATCAACATCATCATCATCATCATCATCATCATCGTCATCATCATCATCATCATCATCATCATCATCATCATCATCATCATCATCATCAACGTCCTCATCATTATCCTAATCCTCATCGTCACAATCATCATAATCATCATCATCAGCATCATCATCATCATCATCATTATCATCCTCATCATCAGCCTCATTATAATCCTCATCGTCATCCTCATCATCATCATCAGCAGCATCAGCCTCGTCCTCATCATCATAGCCACCACCATCAACATCCATCATCATCATCATCCTCATCCTCATCCTCATCCTCATCATCATCATCATCATCACCATCAGTATCAGCATCAGCATCATCGTCATCATCAACATCCACAGAATCATCATCATCATCATCATCATCATCATCATCATCATCCTCATCCTCTTTCTCATCCTCTTCCTCATCCTCGTCTTTATCCTCATCCGGATTATCATCCTCATCCTCATCCTCGTCCTCGTCTTCATCCTCATCCTCATCCTCGTCATCATCCTCATCCTCATCATCATCAGCATCATCACCCTCGTCCTCATCCTCATCACCATCATCGTAGTCTTTATCAGCATCAGCACCATCACCACCACTAGCATCATCATCATCATCATCATCATCATCATCATCATCATCATCATCATCGTCATCCTCATCATCATCGTCATCCTCATCATCATCATCATCATCAGCATCATCACATTCACCATCACGATCATCCTCATCATCATCCTCATCCTCATCATCAGCAGTATCATCATCATCATATTCATCCTCACCCCCATCCTCATCCTCATCACCATCGCCATCCTCATCGTCATCATCAGAATCATCATCATGATCATCATCATCATCATCATCATCATCGGCATCGGCATCGTCATCGTCATCCTCATCATCATCCTCATCCTCATCATCATCCTCATCCTCATTATGATCCTCATCGTCATCCTCATCCTCATCATCATCATCATCACCAGCATCAGCCTCGTCCTCATCATCATCACCACCACCATCAACATCATCATCATCATCCTCATCTTCATCATGTTCATCATCATCAGCAGCATAATTATCATCCCACCCTCCCTCCCCCCCCCTCCCCCGTCCTCTCTTCCCCTCGTTCCAGCCCTCCACCTCCGCCGATCCGAAAAAGCCCGCCGCGGCGGGTTTGCTGGCCGGACGGCCCGCGGCCTCTGCCTCGCGGCAGAAGTAGGCGCCGCCGGCGGGGGCCGGGCTGCCGGGGGACAGGGCCGTGGGGGCGCAATGGCTGCCGCCGTGCCTCGGGGCGCCCGCGCGCGAGCGCGCGCCGTTCACATCCTCCAGCGATGTGTGTGTGTGGCACGATCGTGTCGAGTGCGGCTAGAGGCGATGCGCCAACTCACGCAGGGGCGCGTGCGCCAGACGCCCTGGCCGCCCGTGAGCGCGTATGCGAGCCGCCCGTCGCCCCTGCTCGCACTCGCTGCCCTGTCCGCTCGCGCGCTCGCCACACCGCGCGCCGACGAGGACCTCCTGGCGGCAGGAGCTGACGGAGACCTTGAGGGGGCTGTCTGAGATGTAGAGGTCTCCCCTACGCCGTGCTTCCTCCTCCGCCTCCTCCTCCTCCTCCTCCTCCTCCTCCTCCTCCTCCTCCTCCTCCTCCTCCTCCTCCTCTAAGCTCAGAGCCAGGGGCAGGTCTCTCCACGAGTCCCTCGTCCTCCGCCTCCTCCTCCTGCTCCTCCCAATCCCCATCGACCCATCCTCCCATCCTCACTCCCTCCCTCCATCCTCCTCATCCCTCCATCCCGCCCAATGCCATCCTCCCATCCTCCCGTCCTCCCATCTTCCATTCTCCCCCCTTCCCCCCGCCCTCCCTCCCTCCTCATCCCTCTCTCCCGACCACCTTCCCTGCGGCAGTGGCAGGTCTTCCGGCGGTGCATTCCGACCACAAAGGGGGGGTGGGGTGGGGCCTCAAGAGCGCAAAAAACACAGGGCGCGCGCTTAGCAGCGCCAGTGTGTGGCACCACCTCTGGCAGAGCTGGCGGAACACGCACGGAGGCCACGCCCAGGTGGTCAGGGCCGAGGCTCCAGGTTCGCAGCGCGCACGAGCTGTTTTCGCGAGGAAGGTAGCCTTCGAAGAAAGCGGGGGGGGACTCTCAATAGGGAAACAAATTCTATACACCGACGCCTTCTCCTGCCCCGCACTGACACTTGCCCAGGAAAGCGAATCCTGGTGTTGCATACCTGTTTCAAGTATACACCAACACCACCTGGACGTCGTCCCCGATCCTGAAAACCTGTGGCAAAGACAGCCCGCCACTGGTAATGTATATGCTCCAGTTTCCGACCTGAAGTCAGGAGCCTCATTACAGGGGCCCTGCGGGTTCGAGCACGCCCTGATAAAGCCGAGGGGCGCTCTGGTCGGAAGATCCCCCGCCCTCTTGGAGAGGGTCCACCCTCGCGCCCACCCCCCGCGTGCACCGCCAGCACACAGCACCCACAGCGAGCCCTATGTTGCCCCCATCGTACTTAAGGACCACATCCCAGAAATAATTTCGAACACCCAGAAAAGTGTCGAAACAGTGTCGAACGAGTGTCGCCTCCCAAAGCCCGACACGTGAAAACCGTCAAGTTTCGGTACTTTCTGGGTGCTCGAAATTATTTCTGGTGGTCAAGGCTAAAGTAAGCTGGAACACCACAAAGCGAGCCTACCGACGGCGTGGGCGCACGTGAGAAAGCGCCAGCACGACCTGGCCGACTTCTGCGCCAGACTGGGCGCGGCGCACTGGGGTCTGCAGGACGACGACGCCGGCCGACGACGACGACGACGACGACGACGGAGAAGGCGGCGGCGGCGGCGGAGGCGGAGACGGAAGTGGAGGAGGCGGAGCCCCGAGCAGCGCGTCCTCTTCGCACGAGTCTGCGTGTGGCGGCGTTTGCAGCTGCGGCGACGCATCGGCGCGGTGCGGCCGCACCGCGGTAGCCATGGCCTCGAAGACAGCGACGGCGGGGCCTGCACGGCGGCCTTGATCGTCGGCATCGACTGAAAGCAACCGGAGGAGGCTCGGGCTAACGACGCAGAAGCGGGCAACACATCCCCCCGAGTCGAGCGCTGCAGCGTGCCCAGCGACAGCCTCGCGGAGACGCGCGGCCGGCCATGGCGCGCGCGCGCGGGCACGCCAACGCGCAGGGACACCATCGCGCTGGAATCGGCGGTGCACGAGCAGGTCGAGGCGGGCACCCATTGCACAGTCTGCGGGGAGCGCTCCGAGTCGGAAAAAGAAGAGGAGGAGGGGGAGCGCTCCAAGTCAATGTTTTCCACCCACTGAGCTGGTGCCCCCTGGCGGCTGTCGGGTCACTCACTCCACGGTCGCCGCCGCGGGCCCCGAGCGGGGCCTTGGGCCGACACGACAGACACCAGGGCAGCGCAGGTAGCTATGACTAAAAGAGCCCAGGGACACACAAAAAAATACACAAATCCCAGGATTCCCCATAATCCAGAAGCCGCATTAAAGTGATCATTCGTTTTTTGGCCCCCCCTCTGTCACAGAGGGGGTCAAATATGCCCCCCCTCTGTCACAGAGGGGGTCTGAGATGCCCCCCCTCTGTCACGGAGGACCTCGTTCTGGGTGCTCTTCTGCCACGGGAGCTCCCGATACGATTGGAGACGATAAAATGTGATAGCGGGATGGGGGATTGGAGGGGGAGGGAGAAGAAAACGATGAAGGCACCGTTTCTTTTTCCTTCTCCGCTCGGGCAGCGGTCGCCGAGCACGACGGCGCGCGCGAGTCGCCGCCGCTCACGATGCATTGGCAAGGCCTCCGCTGCTGCGGAGGGTCGACGTTCGGCCGATGAGGCCTCCCTCCGCTGCTGCGGAGGGGCGGCTCCTGTGCGATGGTTCAGCTAAGTTTTTCCCAGGGATTGGTTTCGGGGGGGGTTCGACCCACCTCCAAGTCGTGGTCGCGACCTCCCAGTGCCCCTGGCCGCTACTCCACCCACTGTGGCTGCTCCACCAGTCACTGGGGCGTTGGTCGCTGCCGAATGCAACTTGCATGTCGCGCCAGGCGGAGTCGACCATGCGGTCCTGCAGCGAGGAAGCCTCGCCGCTCGGCTGTTGCCACTCGCGCTCCTCGCCCTCCTTGGTGCGCCACCACTCATCCCTGCGCCACTCCTCGTCTGTTGGTTGCTGCCGTGGCGTTTGTGGCCTCCGCTGCTGCGGGGGCTCTGGCGGCTCGTGGCCGAGGGCAGCGATCGCGTCCGAGATGTAGATGGCGGCGCCGCGCTGCCCTCGCTGCTCCAGCGGCGCAGGCCCTGGAGATGGGCACTGCGGGGTCGGCTGCCACCTTGGGGGTGATAAATAATTATTTCTATATCCCCCCCCTGTCAACTCCCGCCCCTTCCCGACACTCATGTCCTTATGTCATCCCTCGTCCTGCTCAGCCTATTCCTCATTCCCTCTCCTCCCTCCTGCCCTCCCCGTGCTCCACCGCCCCTCTCCCTCCCTCCCCCTTTTCAACCCCCCGCCGCGACCTTCCATCGCCAGCCGCGGGCATGTCGCGGCCGTCGTCCGCGCTTTCGTCTGCCCATCTTGGTGGGCGCCACGCCTGTTGGGCGCGCTCGTCTTGCTCGTCCCTCTCGCTGTGCTGCTCTGGTGCCTGGCGCTCGGGTCCGTGCTGCTCGGGCGGCAGCGGCGCCCTGAGCGCAGCTGCCAGCTGTTTCTGGGCGCGCCTGTCCTTCTTCTCTTTGGCTCTCTCCTGCTTCCTCCCCTGCGAACGCACGCTGGCCATGCGCATTTGGAACAGGAGAGGGTAGTGGGCGCCGCCGTGCCAGCGCCCCTCCACCTCCACGGTCTCTGGCGGGAACGTCTTCTGCAACGCGCGGAAGAGGGTCACCTCGCGATTACTAGAGAAGCGGCGGTCCCCTCTAGCCTCAGCCTCGGCGCGCCTCAGTTTCTCACGCTCCTTCTCTTGGATCTTGCGTTGGCATTCCTCTGACTGAGTCAGTAAATCCTGGAGGTGCTCGCGGGCGTCTTTTTTCGGGTAGTAGCAAGAGTAAGGCATCCCAGGGCCTCCGTTCTGGCTGTGGTGCCAGTACGTCGGCTGCGATGATGGGCTGGTGGAGGCCCCCGCTGCTGCGGGGGCCTCTGCCTTGCTTCTGTTACGGTACCCGATCTCACCGATCACCGACTTGCGTGCGAAGAGCAACCCCGTCTCGTCTCTGTCGTGCACGGCGCTCAGCGGCCAGCACAGGGTGTACTCGCCAGGCCTGTTGAGAACGAAGATGCCGCAGCTGTCCAAGCACGGAGTGCCGTCCAATCCGCGCCAGAAGTACGCTGCTGCCGTCTCCAATCGCATGCCTAGACCCCGAAGACTCGGCAGCGTCTGTGTGAGCGCCACGTTGAAATCCCCACAAAGGATGTCAACGCTGTTGTCCTGCAAGATGGTCGCCAACCTCGGCCACCACGTCTTGTGAGCCTCGTTGAAGCCTCTGGAATGTTTCGCCGTGTCGCGGTGGAGGCGCACCGCGCACACCCGCACTTTCGAGCCGAAGTGGGCGTAGGTTTGATCGAAGTAGATCTCAACCACCATGATCCTCGAGAACGCTTCCACCTTGCGCCCTCTTGCTGTTCTGTAGTGGCCGTCGACACTCCTTTCCCAGTGGAGCAGCCGCATTTCGCAACACAGATTTGCGCGCGCAGCGATGCACAAGGACTTGTCCTCACGCCCGCGCAGGGTCAAGCATTCGTACTCTGGTCGATTCTGGAGCTGTTGGCAATGGCCAACACTCGCAGCACGACTTCCTCTTGCTGTCGCCATCGCTGCTGCGGGGGCGACAAAAGGCCCACCGCTGCTGCTGCTGCGTTGGCCCTCCGCTGCTGACGCCCCCGCTGCTGCGGGGGCGTCCGCCTGCAGCGGCGGTGGTCTCCCTGGCCGCTGTAGGATTGACTCCATCTGCTCCTCACATTCCGCAAAGCACGCCACGGAGCAGGGCAATGCCGCAGCTGCAACCCAAGTCTCCGCCTCTGGTCCGCGCGGTTGGCCTCGCTCGGCATGGAGCCCCAGTTCCCGAACAGGACGGAAAGGTTGCCCACGTTGTCGTTCCGTGGCCTGCTCACGTCAGCCGCTCTTCTTTCGCAGAAGAATTTTGGCGGGACGGTGTCGCGAAGAACGCATTCGCGCCGCTCGACGTCGTTGGGCGGCCTGCAGCCCCTAAATTCCTGAGGCTCTTCGTCATCGCTCGGATCCACCGCGGAGTCGCCTGGGCGGGTGCGCATCGTAGAAACTTCTGATCGCGCCGCCGCTGCTGAGCTTGAGACGCCAGGCGGCGCAGCCCCCGCTGCTGCGGGGGTGCCCTCTGGCACAAGGGCCCAAGGACCCTTCCAGGGTTCTGCCTGACCACCTACAGGTCGCCAAACCTTCCCAGATTTCGCTGTGAACACTGCCGTCAGTCGGCCCCGAGGCCCCGCTGCTGCGGGGCCCAATGGGCTGCTGCTGCTGCTGGCGGCCGCGGCCATCGCTCCCTGCCCCCGCGTTGCAGGGGGGGCGGCCGTCAGAGCCGAACTCCTGGGGCCGAAACGGCGGTGGAAGGAGGGGGGCGGGGCGAAGAGGAGGAAGACGGGGCGGATAGGGAAGGAAAGGGCGGGCAGAGAGAGAGGGAGAGAGAGAGAGAGAGAGGGAGAGACAGGGAGATAGTGAGAGAGGGAGAGAGAGAGAGAGAGAGAGAGAGAGAGAGAGAGAGAGAGAGAGAGAGAGAGAGAGAGAGAGAGAGAGAGAGAGAGAGAGAGAGAGAGAGAGAGAGAGAGAGAGAGAGAGAGAGAGAGACGGACGACGATAACGAGAGAGAGAGAGAGAGAGAGAGGGATAGAGAGAGGAATGATATAATGACCAGGAGAGATCAGGGAGAAGGAGGGGGGAGAGCAGGAGGAGGGGCGGAGTGATCGACACCCGCGTGGTTTTCTCCCCCTGCCTGCTCTCCCCCTCCTCTCACCTCCTCCCCCGTCCCCCCTCCCCCCTGTTTCTTCTGCGCAAGGCCTGCGCTACGTCCGCGCGCGCACGCGGCACCTCAGTCGCAGGCAGGTGGAAGAGCAGCGGCTGCTGCCCGAACTCACACCCCGCGCCTCGCCGCTGCTGCGGCGGGCCGCGCCTCTCAGAGGCCCCCAGCTGCAGGGAGCGCAAGCGCCAGGGAGCCAGACAGACGGCGTCGCGTCTCACTGTGCACAAACATGCTGAAAGCTCTCGGGTTGCCCCCCAAGTACTCGTCTATGACGTTCTGCAACCATGTGGCAAACGTCTCCGGCCACTTTCCACCGAAGTCCTCCATGCCAGCGGCGTCCCATTCCCGCCGAAACCAGTCAAAATCTGACCGCTGAGCTGCAGAAAGCCCAGAACCCAAAATCGCAAGGCGATTCAGCGCGTCGCACCTCGACGTTCGACCCGCCGCGCCTCCGCAGCTGCGAAGGCCCGCGCCCAGCTCGGATAACCCGACATGCTTCATCCTGTGTTTGATATCTATGGCTGCCTCTGCGTCTAAGAGTTTGGCTTGCTGTGTCCTCAGCAGCTTGCGCGCTTTCTTTACGTCGTCCCCCAGGCGGGTTAGCTCTTCTCTGCGCCGCGCCTCGACATCCCGCTGTCGTTTCTCGTTTCTGAGCGTCGCCTCGCGGGCGTCCTCGCATGCTGCGAGGGCTCGCTGAACCCCAGGATCTTCCTTCGACACTTCACGCACTCGCCTCCGTTCTTTCCGTAATTGCGTCTCCATGAACGTGGCCCCCGCGATGTCGCCCCAGCTGCGCAACTCCTCAGCGATCGACGAATACGTTCTCATCAATTCAGACGTCTGCTCCGCAGTTTCCATACGAGACGTCGACAGGCCAGGCGGTGCCTCCAGCGCGCTCTCCCCCGCCGCTGCTGCGGTGAGACTTTGATTGGCCCATTCGTAGTCAAACTCGCCAGCGGCGCTCCACCCGTCGTCGTCCTCGCTCCCATCATCTTCATCTCCTTCGAGGGCGTCGACGGAATTGCCACCCTCAGTGCCCCCGCTGCTGCGGAGACCCTCGGCTGCGTCTTCCGCCCCCTCCATGCCATGCCAAATCTTGTCGCCCTCGTCCAGAGCCGTGTCGTCTCCAAGGTTTGCGAACACGTCGTCGCAGTGGCCGCGTCGAGGGTGCGGGAGGACCAATCGCATGATGTCTTTGTAAGTCCATCTCAAGCGCCCCGCCTGTACCTCTTCTTCGACCTCCGCTACTGCGGCGGCGAC